TTTTTTTTTTTTTTTAACAAGTTCTTTCACAAATATTTAGTGAATTAATTTCTATACAATTTTTTTATTTGTTTGCCTGCGACGTAAACACTTATAATATTACGATCATCGCCAACATAAATAAATTTTTTGCACCATTTCCAGCAGTTGAGCTTCGCTAGATTTTTCCGCATCAACAGTAACATAGTTCAACAACGGATATTTGCTCGTATCGACAATCAATGCATCGAAATCTTTACCCACCATGAAATTTCCAGTAACCTCGCCCAACGCCAGTGCTTCAGCGCCACCAAGTGTTGCCAAGAATATAGCTTGTTTGTAGTTGAGTGGTCGATATTCATTATCTTGAGCATTTAGGCGACCACTGCCTTTGATCTCCTGCTTCTTCACAAATTCCAGATGGTGGGAAACATCCACAGCACGCAATATGGCATCTTCTATGGCCATCGAATTTCCACCCGATACGTCTGTGCCTAAACCAACTTTAACGCCATTTTTTTATGAGTCGCATCACATCACAGAAACCTGAAGATAAGTTTGTATTAGAGGACGGGCAATGGGCAACCGAAGTACCGCGCTCACGCAAAAGCGCGACTTCCGCATCCTCTAGATGTACAGCATGCGCCTTAACAGTCTTCGGTGTCAACAAACCCGCATTATCATATGCCTCTGCATAGCATGAATTGTAGACCGATTTGACATATTCAATTTCCGCCAAATTTTCGCTAATGTGGCTCTGAATATGCAAATCATTTTTGCGTGCTATTTCACCCAACTTTACCATTAATTCCTTTGTGCAGCTCAATGCAAATCTTGGTGTTATTGTAGGCTTTACCAAATCTGTCTTTAGTGTTTTTATCTCATTGACAAATTCCTCTGTATTCGCTGCTGATGTTTCCGTGGTTTCAACATAAAAGTCGGGGCTGTTGCAATTCGAGCAAACTTTGCCAACTAATGCTCGTTGGCCCTGTCGCATTGCCTGCTTGGATAGTATTAGAGTACTATCTTTGTTATTGCTACCAAAGTAAGACGCGAGAGTGGTACCTGCTCTAATTGTGTTTTCCACAACTTTAGTGTACACATTCGCTGCAAAATCTTGATCATCATATTTCGCCTCCAACGGGAACGTATATGTATTCAGCCAGTCCAATAAGGGCATATCTAACCCAAGTCCGATTTGTGCTACCTGAGGCGCATGAATATGGCAGTCCACAAAACCAGGCATAACAAACTGGTCTGAAGTGAGATTTTCCTCACTTGTACCCTTAAAACCGGCGTTTTTGGCAAGCCACTCGCAGTAGTCGCTCTCGTTTCCTATACCAGCGATTTGGCCTTGCTGGTCCACTGCAACAAATCCGCTCGGAAAAACCTCAAATTCATTAAGAGATTTCGTATGTATAATTTTTCCAAAGAAAACTTTAGCCATTTTCAACCTTTGAAGAGGTAAGAACACCTGTTGATATAAACTATTATAAATCAAATTTATAACAGATCCACGTTCAGCTCGTGTAATGCAGATTACTGAAAAGAAAAAGAATGAATGGAGATTCAATAGCAATTGTAAATTAAAATTGTACAATTAATAACCTACAATACTTACCGCTCAGCCTCGTGGCAGCTTTATTTTTCTTCAATGACATTTTTATTCATTGAGGATATTGCAAAGTTTGCTGCAGGTGATTAGAGACGGTTTGTCAAGGCTAGTGATAGAGATGTGCAATAAAACTCGGTACTTTAGAAAACCCGGTTTGTTTCGTTTTGGNTGCAATAAAACTCGGTACTTTAGAAAACCCGGTTTGTTTCGTTTTGGCTGTTTGATTAATTAATGGAAATCCGTTTCGGGTTTAGTATTTTTGTTTCGGTAGATAGATAAAAACCCATCTAATAAATGGGTGGATACCAAATTTCTTCGTCATAATTGTTTTTTGTTTCCTTCTATTTTTTTTGTTGGCTTACCATATAATATAGTCACACATTTTAGTATTTAAATATTTTATTATTTAGTTAAGTTTTTATATATGCTGGAATGAAAATGTCATTACAGTTTTCTTCAGGCGACTCACAAAAGTTGGTTTATCAATCATATTTATTTTGAATCTATCCCAGAATTTAATGAATTCCCTACGAACTGACTTCCCGGCCTGCTCGGACCATAATCCTAAACCATCGTTATTCAAGAATGAAATAGATTGCTTTAAATGTTTAAGGATAAAATGGATTTTGACAGTTTGAGAAATTCCAGTACTTTTCAAAGCTGTGCGGAGTTCGTTAAGATTTTTATCAAAATTACTAAGATCCGCTTGTTTTGCGGAAAACCATGTATTCACGATTTTGCTCATGGCTTTGAACGAGGCAATATATTTGGTATTGTTTTTACTGAGAGTTTCTTCCATACAAACTATGTTCGACATTTTTTTGTATGTGGAAGACACTGTCAGCAAAAAATAAATAATTGCAAAAAATCAACGAAATTTTCTGGTAACTTCAGACTTGCACTTTACTAATTGGCTCAAAAGCTACATTTTAAACATTTTTCTAAAAGATCTGATTAGAAATTCTGATCAGATGAAAGTGTCTCCGAGCCAATAATTTTGTACGGCACGGTACTTATAAGTAATCTAGGTTTCACGAAAAAAAAAATAATAAATACAAGGTAACATTAAAATATCAGTCAATGGTTTCGTTGCTGTGAGCTTGTTTCAAAACTTCTGGCTTTTGCTATAATTGTAAAACTCTGTGCATGTCTTTTTAACGTATTTAGGTACATACTTATATTAATCATCAACTATTGCTTATGCAAAACGTGCTACATTAAAAAAAAAAATCGCATATGAAAGAGCACCAACCCAACTCGTAATAATTTAAGTATACAAATTTTAGTATTTAGTATAGAAATATTCAATTGAAATACGCCAATAATAAAATGAAGCGCTTTGCACTTAACGGATGCTTTTTCATAATTAAGTTAAAAAAAAAATTTATTTAAATTCCATGCTGTCTTTAATGGGATTTGAACCCTGACGCTCTGGAAATTAGCAAATTGTGGCAAGCATCTTCGTGCACTCAGCTACAGCCAGACATGTAAATGTGCATTCAAATGTTCAGTTTGATTCAACACCACGTGTGCGTTGTATGAAAGTATTGTTTTTAAGTACGAACATTTCAAAACGATAATCAAATAAAAAATATTCATGTTTACTATGCGTTATTTCCCCGAGTAAATTCATAAAATTTTTCTTGATATTACAACGCGTTTTTGCTCTCAGCGTAGTCATTTTTAAGCAAAATTTGTGCAATCAAATCGAAAACCGGGACACTTAAATGAAACCCGGGACATTTTAAGGTTGGACCGGGACACCGGGACAAATAGTCTAAAATCGGGACATGTCCGGGAAAGCCGGGACGTCTGGCAGCCCTACACATAAAGCGCATACTTTCATGCGATTTTCTTTATGATCGCATTTGTGTTCTGGATGTACAATAGTCATTATTTCCTGACAGAAGAGTACATAAATACCAAAATAAATCTCATACAAGCTTTGAATTTATTTACTTATTATGAGGAGTACCGTTGGCCTAAGTTAGAGCATTTTTATTTCTTGCACAAGCGCAGTGCGACTTGCCTGCGCTACTTGCTTATAGCAACAAACCTTTAATAAAAAATTACTACCGTATTATATAGCATACAATATTGTATACATACATACATATATTGCGATATTGAAAGTGTTTGTAATGAGAAAGTTCACTGTACAGAAAAAGGTAATTGTGGTTGAAAACGCCTTGGGGCAATGTCGCTCGTAGTTGCACCAAGGGTTTAATTTTGAAATGAAATAATCAAAGGCAAACACCACGGATTAATTCAATATATATAACAAAGTGGCTTTATTAGTCAAATTGGTGAAATGTGTATTGTGGTTTTTGGTATACAATATTACCTTGAGAAGTACGCAGGAGTGGTGGCTGGATCGCTTCCGGTGTGGTCGAAGTGCTCGATAGAAGTGACCGAGCTTAATCTTGAGCAGTTAAGTTTGACCTCCAAGCAACAAACTGTTTGGAGGGGAAACTTAACGAAGTTTTATATTCAAGCGGTAAACTAATATATGTACATGCTAACGGCTTAGCATTAATCAGGCTATTTATGTATATGTGCATCCGTTGCACATTTATGCAATTTTACATTAGGGTGGTTCACCCTTTTAAGTATTTGGTTTAGCATGGAGGCCTAAACATGCCGGCCCCCTTGCTATAAGCAACAGCAGTAAGTCGAGTCAGCCACCATTCCCTCACATGAGCAATTAAAGGAATTGTAAATATTAAAAAATTGTTAAATGAAATCTTGATTGAGCTGGATACGTAGTCATCACCATTGATGCTCGTTTCGGATTTCTCAGGCTGTGGGAGATAAGAGATTAAATAAAACAGGACATGGCTTGACATTTCAGTGCACAATTGTATATGTATTTATTCAAAATTCAAAATATATATTGCAGTTTGTAATTCATAACCGACGAGAAATTTTGAAAATGTAAAAAGGTAAGTATATTTTATTGCAGTGATTCAGGATCGGCAAGCCCCTGACAGTAGCCAGCCGAAGATGCTATTTTGTGCCACGAGAGGGCCGAAGGAGGTAGGCAGGGTGCCCGGAAGAATAATCTCCGGATAGACGTCTGCCCCCAGCACCAAGCGGATCGGAGCGGATGAGAAGAAATTTGGATCTGCCAACCGAATATTGGCATATGCCGTAGCTATCGAGCAGTCAACGCTAACGGTGGGGCTCAGCTGCACGTAGTTACCGACTACTGCTGCGTGGATCGCCAGCCTGGCGCCCTGCCCATGTTTTCCTCTCAGCCGAATCATGCAGCTTCGTTGGTGCCCGAAGCCACTCTCCTCCAAGCCCAATTCTCGCATCAGACTAGCCGATATTATAGACGCTGGCGCGCACACATCAATTAAGGCGCGTATGAGGTGTGAGCGTCCTCTAGATTCTATCTTTACTATGGCTGTAAGGGAAATTGCCGTAAATGGTCTCAAGCCCTGAGCGGCTAGCGTTACTTGGCCGGATCTAAAGGCGACGGGTAGCTGGCGAGGCCGAGTCACCAGTCCACCCCGTCGTTCATCGCGTCTTGAGGCCACGTTGTTTGTGTCCCGCGGGCGGAAAGTCCAAGTTTCCGCTCCACGGCGCTGTCGTTGTTTTCCTTGACGGGAAACCCTTTTACGTATGGACCGCGGGCGGAGAGACCGAGTCTCCGCTCCGCAGCGCTGTCGTGCCCGTTGCCGTTGTCCTTCTTGACCGGTAGCCTTTTGGCGTATGGACCGCGGGCGGAGAGACCGAGTCTCCGCTCCGCAGCGCTGTCGTGCCCGTTGCCGTTGTCCTTCTTGACCGGTAGCCTTTTTGCGTATGGATCGCCGGCGGAAAGACCGAGTCTCCGCTCCGCGACGCTGCGGTGCTCGTTGATGTTGTCGCCTTTTATGTGCTAACGGGAGTCGGAAAGTCCGGGTTTCCGATCCCCCCGTCGATATTGGAAAATTCGCTTCCGCTACAGGCTCAATTATTTCGCCCTCTTCGATTTCAGGGCGGCGGGTTCGGGAATCCGTTCCGGAGTCTGACGCGTATATCGAGAGTACGTTGTCTCTTTCCTCTTCGCTGGCAACCTGCTGGCTCCACGGTCTCCGGTCAACGGGCTCTTCGTCGATGTGCAGCGTCGTATGGTGCTTGTCATGGCATCGGCGGCATCGATCGCGGCTGGTGCACCTTTGTACACGATGCGTCATCGACAAGCAATTGCCGCAGAACCGCCCTAACAGGACCTCTCGCAAACGCTCTTCCGGGGTCATTGCTCGATATACTGGGCATAGACGGATTGGGTGCTTACCCTCGCATAGCCGGCACGCTATCGGGTAACGATGAGCGTGGCGTTCCGATTTCTTTCTCAACGTAGAGAAACGAGTCATTGTTACCTGAAATAAGTAATATGTTGTTTCGATCGCAAATTTATTGCTACCAATATCTGCTATTATTGATGTATAATATTATTGATATCTGTCTTTGTTATTGATATTCATTTTTTACGGTGCTTATGGTTGGGTGGCGAGAATTACATCATATAATTATAAACCATGAATTGGCATATATTACTTACGCGCTCTAAACCCATGTTGGAGTTGGTTTATGATTGATGCGTTCAAGTGGTCGTGTATGGGGTGCATAATATTGTGATATTACCCGAGCATATGAAGATTGTGTTTGCTCCTTTATATTCATCTAGCGATAAATTTTTATCGATTTTTGACATCTACGCTCATCCGTGAGCTGCCATATTGACATAAATTAAATGAATAATAATGTGAGAATTAACAAAAAAAACAACCCAAACTCATACGGGTGGCCATCCATACGTGTGAGAAATTTGAAAGCAATTTCCCGAACGAGTAAATGCAAAATTACATGATGATTATGGTGAGCTTTGTTTTCTCACCTTTTCCTGCCACCAGAAGAAGAGTGGCAAAAACCAATATTTGGTTGGTAGTGAACTTTACCATGCCGAATGCTAATAGTAGAGTTTATTGTCACAAATTCGCACATATGCAAGTACATACGTACATACGTACGTAAGTGGGATATTTCCATTTGAGCGAATGTCGTCGCTTATGTTTTCTGCTCACGAACAACAGATGGCACCGTTGCTAGTTAGAGATGGACGCCCTTTTCAAAGAACCGGTTGTCTTTTAATCTTTCATAACTATTTTCAGAGTTAGGCTGTGTGCCAATCGGTAACTTTTCTCCGTGATGAGACGGGGTTAAAAAACTGACTAGGGTGCAAAAATAAATTGAACCCTTATAAATGAAAAAATGTTCTTCAGCAAATTAACAAAT